ATGTCCCCATAAGTCCTGTGTGAAATTTGTTGACAGATTTATCCTCAATATTAGTTGTTAATATCATAAATAATGGTAAAATCATATATAGGGAATTGAATGTTACCATAGATTAAGTTTGTGAAACGTAACGTGACACCTACATAAACGTAACGTAACGTGACCATATCAGATGGAACATTACATAAGCGTAACGTGACGTGACGTGACACTTACATAAACGTAACGTAATGTGTCACGTTACGTTTCGCAAACTTACTAGATTTTTTATTTTTTTAATTGAATGTGAAAATGTTACTTTCTATGGTAACATTCAATTTTCTACATATGGTTTTGCCATTATAGTGTATAATAGTATATTAATACCATTTATTTACAACTCATAGGATCTTGTAGAATACATTCTTATCTAAATAGGACTTGAAACTCTATAAGAAATTACACAGGACTTAACATAGCGTAAGTGTCTGAAATAGGACTTATAAATAAGTCTCCCAAATTTCATATCTATTCAATTTTCCCTATTTTTCTTTATCTGTTGGACCTATTTGTTCATTTGTTTTTATCTAATCAATATTTTTATCTGTTGGGGGTCTGATTTGTTAAAAAAATTGAATCTGTTTAAAAAAATTAAATTTGTGCAATTGTTATTGTGTTATCTGTGTAAATTAAATCTATTTCTTCTTCATTAACATCAACAACAACAACAACAACAACAACAACAACAACAAATAGATGTGAGTCAAGGAAAAAAAAAAGAATCTAAATAACAACAACAAATAGATTTGAGAGCCACGAAAAAAAGAAAAAGAAAAAGAAAAAGAAAAAGAAAAAATAATTCCTATAGATCTGTGTTCAAATCCAACATAATTCTAACTATCAGTTAAAAATCCAACAAATCTGAAGCTACACAGATCATGTATACAGAGTAGAGAGAGAGAGAGAGAGAGAGAGAAAACAACAACCCCCCAAAAAAAAATACAGATAATTAGATAATGAACAACAACAAGCCAGACAATTAAAAAAAAATGACTACATAATAACAAATTTAATAACCAAATAAAATCCAATCAATCTAACATTTACTGGAACATATAAGGACCTAACAACCAAGTTCAATCACATCTCCATCCATGAAATAAGGGGAAAATAAAAACGGATCATTAAAACATAAAACCAATTAACCTTAAATTAATAGTCTTACAACCAAATGTACTCCAAAAACTATAATATACAGAATGATATATTACAAAGAAGTACAACAATTATATGATAAGCCCAATTTAAATCAATCTGTAGCCATCACAAAACCCTAGACGTACAGCATTTGAGCAAGTAACTAAGTTAAGGCAAACATTTGTTACACACAAATATGGGTGAAAATTGGGCCGGCCCATGTCAGGCTGCTCGGGCTTTTGCCAAAATTCAAGCTGGCTCAGGGGCCAAAAAATTAGGCCCAAGACCAGGCTTAGGCCTAGGGGGTATTCGGGCCTTGGGCGGGGCGAGGCGGGGTGGGCCAGGTGGCCTAAACATTTTTTTTAAATTTTTTTTCTATTTTTCTACCAAAATTTTATTCTTTTCCACTAAAAATGACACTGGGTCTCAGGCGAGCAGGGTCGAGACGGGCCTTAGGTCGAGCTTTAAATGGGCATTGAGCGGGCCGATAGGCCGAGTCACACTTCAAAATGACGACTCAAGCCCAGAGTTCCAAGCTGGGTTTAGGCCCAGGCCTAACCGAACCTAAGAAGGCCAAGCCCACCCCAGGCTGCTGGCGGGCTTCGAGCCACTCACAGGCCGCAGGCCATTTTTACACCTCTACACACAGAGAGACCAAAAATAAATAAATAAAGATGAACTTGAAGTGAGAACTGGTGAGTCGGCAGCAGCGCGATGGACTGATGGCACGGGAGCTGCGGCATTGGTCAAAAACGAATAACAGCTGTGAGATGGAGGATAAGGTAGTGATAGTTGTTAAAGTCGTCACCTCGAAGATATGAGATGATGAAGAATATAGCGGTGTCGCCTCCGATCTCAGATCTTAATCTCAATTCCAATCTTAGATCTTGGTCACCACTGTATCGTCGTCGTCTCTAACAATTAGAATCAACAACGAACAGTGTGGGAGAGAGAAAGACGGAGCTATAATTAGGGTTTGGGAATGTGAGTGTATACGGTAGCTATAATATATATATATATATATATAGGGTAGTTTGTTCATTTTATCTAGGTATGTCCTTATGGACAAAGTATTTTAGAGTGTGGACTTTTGGCTAAACAAAATTCAAATTTAGATTTATGGACCAAGTACCTAATCATTAATATGTGAACCCAACACAGTCAAAAGCCATCCACAATGCTAAATTTACTAGAAACTAGTTCTCAATTAATTTTACATTCATCCAAAATGCGATAATAATAATAACTAGAATTAAAATAACTTTTTCATAAACTTCGTCCAAAATCTGAAAGAAATAAAATAAAACAAAAAAGAAAAAGAAAAAAAAGGTAACGTTTGATAGAGTTTTCTAAATATAATTTGAGAATAGAGTTGTATTTTGAGTTTGTGATTTTTGAAATTATAATTTGAGTGTGGAAAATTTGTTTGGTAAAAGAGTTTTGAATTGAGTGGGAAATTTTTGATGTGACATATAATATTTGATATAAGAATAAAGCTTGGTAGCTCGAAATTTTCGTCGCTCAATTGGTCTGAATATCAAAACGGCGTCGTTTTGATATATTTTTTTTCTTTTTTCTGTTTCCTCGCTTTTCTCTGAAATAGTGAGAAGAGGGAAGAGAGAAAAGAGAAGAAAGAGAGAAGAAGCGATGGCAGCGCGATGACGGAGGCGATGGCGCGACGGTGATGGCATGACAGTAGGTCTCTTCCTCCCTCTTCTCTCAACAGATCTATGTGTGATTTGGTTTTGATTTGTGGGTTTGTTTTTTATTTTGATTTGTTTTGATTTATGGGTTTGTTTTTTATTTTGATTTGGTTTTGATTTGTATACATAGATCAGTTGTTGTGGGTTTGTTTGTGGGTTAGTTGTTGTTGATTTTAATTTTGTTTGTGAATTTTGATTTTATTTGATTTTGTTTGTTTGTTGATTAGTTTTGATTTGTTTGTGGATTTTGATTTTGTTTGTGGGTTTGTTTGTATACACAGATCAGAAGGTTAGAACTTCACTCGGTCATGTTTTAGAGAGAGAGAGAGAGAGAGAGGAAACTGTGTAGAAGGCAAGGAAGGGAAAGGAAAAAGAAAAAAAAAAAATTGTTGGCTGTTGATGATGTGTTGATGATGGTGTTGATGAAGATGTTGTGGATGATGATGATGTGTCGATGAATGTGTTCACCAGCTACTCCCTCTTCTTCTTTTCTTTTTCTTCTTCATCATCATCTTCATCTTCAAAAAAAAATGAGAAAGAAAGAAGAAAAAAAAAAAATTTCCAAAACGATGTCGTTTTGGATTCGGGCCAATTTCGAGCTGCATAGCGGAACTGTTTGATAAAAAAACTTATAACTCATAACCAAACACAACTAAAAATTCTATTCAAAACTCATAAAAAAATTTAAATATTCCAAAATATTTTTTATTTAAAATATAAAAAATAACAGGGTCAATTCTAAAAAAAATAAAAATAAGAATAAATATAAATATAAATAAATAAAAAATTACACTGTACCGGTCAATCAACCGGGTGTCTGGGAGAACGACCGGTCGGACATTCGGGAGAACGACCAGTTAGCCTAAATTTTCCGGCCTTGGAAAGAATTTGCAAAAGTAAGTGTGGAATTAACTTTTGAAAACTCTAAACAAACACCATACTAAAACCAAACGATGGAATCATAATTTGAACATCTAACCAAATACAGCCAAAAGTTTGCAAAGCTCCAGTTTTACTACTTAGGTTTACAAGAAAAAAGCTCTAATCTAGGGTAATGAATAACATACAACGATGGAGATTTAAAATAAAGAAAAAAAAATTATAAAGTGCGGGCAATTTGTGTAAAACCCGCGACCCACAAATTATGCCTAAACTAGACTTGCACCCGACTCTGCATAGCCCTCGAAATTGCCCAAAAATGTGTGATTCGGGTAGGATCAGACAGTTTGTGCAAGTCAGCTAACCCTATACCCACCCCTATACAAGACCCTTGTAAAAATAAATTTGTCATTATAATTTTAAGCAGTAGCATTGCCTAATTTTAATGTAGAAATTTATTTTTAGATTGACTTTAAATAGATTGCCATATATTCACTTTTTTTTTTTTTTTTTTCCTTTTTTTTTTTGAAGATTTGGTCATAAGTGAGTTTAAAATTTGAATTTAAGTTTTTGACTCAAGTAGCCTAAGCCTCTCAAAATAAAAAAAAAAAGGCGAGAGACTTAGGCCTGGTTTGGGAAGATTAAATAAGTTAACATTTTTTTTCTTTTTATTTTTTTTAGATCATATCAATCAATATCTCTTCTTTATTTTTTTACACATTTTTTTTTATAAAAAATTAGAAAGTGTACTTATTTAGAACATTCCAAACAATCCTTTACTTTGTGGATGTTTGAAAAGTTGTTATTTTAATAGGTTATTTTAGGAGATTAAAATTTTTGTGTTTGGAAATATAGTTGAATTTTTTTGTAGTTGGATGTGATATTTGTAAAAAAAAAAGTGAAATAATTTTAAATTTAATGTGACATTTTGTGTTATTGGTTATTTTAACTTATTTTACTATTTTAACCAAAAAAGTTAAAAAAAGCTCTTCCCAAATACGTTGGCTTTTTGACGGATGTGTAGTGACTTTTTAATTTTTTAACTTTTTTAAATTAAGTTAAAAAGTTTAGTTTGTGATTAATTTTTTGATTTTTTTGACTTTTGTAAAAAAAAAAATAAAGTGATTATTATATGGATGTGACATTTTATTTTATTAATTTTTTAATATTTTTTATTTTTTTTTACCATTTTAATTCAAACCATTTATACCAAGGAAAGCTTAATTTTTTACCAAATCTAAGACATGTACCTATTTGGTAAAAAATTTAATAAAAAACCCAAAAATTGTTCAAGAGAATTTAATTTAAACTTTTGAGATACTCACCAATTATACAAGAACATACTTCCCCGATGGAATCCATCCCCTTCCTCTCTTCCTTCTTCACTATTTAACCCCTCCCTCCACAATTCCATCATCACCCTCCTCTCTCTGTCTCTCTCTCTCTAACATCCAAACTCTGATGGACATGGAGAGTAGCACACCAAAGCGCTCACGGCTCACTAGACTGAACACATTCATGGCAGAGAGCAGAGTCGGAAAGCACTTCAAGCTCGCCGACCGCAAAACCACCTTCACGACGGAGGTCCGCGCCGGCACCACCACCTTCCTCACCATGGCCTACATCCTCGCCGTCAACGCCTCCATCCTCTCCGACTCCGGCGGCACCTGCTCCGTCTCCGACTGCATCCCCCTTTGCTCCGATCCCACCATCTCGGCCGCCAACTGCTCCGCCGCCAACCACCGCCTCATCATCCCCGACGAGTCCTGCAAGTTCCCTCCGGTGAATCCCGGCTACTCCGCCTGCGTAGGCCGAATCCGCAAAGACCTCATCGTCGCCACCGTCGCTTCCTCCCTCATCGGGTGTGTAATCATGGGAACATTGGCGAATCTTCCTCTAGCTCTCGCACCTGGTATGGGGAGCAATGCTTACTTTGCTTACACTCTAGTGGGTTTTCATGGCTCCGGCCATATCTCCTATAAGGGAGCTCTCGCAGCCGTGTTTACCGAAGGGTTGATCTTCCTCTTCATTTCGTCAATTGGGTTGCGAACAAAACTTGCTAAACTTATTCCAAAACCAGTCCGAATCTCCTCCTCCGCTGGAATCGGACTCTTCCTCGCTTTCATCGGTTTACAAAACAACCAAGGCATTGGACTCATCGCTTACAGCTCCTCCACACTGGTCTCACTCGGCGGTTGCCCCACCTCCTCTCGCGCAGCACTCGCCCCTGTTTTCACCAACGGCACCCTCATCCCCGGTGCCGCCATGTCCGGCGACATACTCTGCCTCCACCACCGCATGGAAAGCCCCACATTATGGCTCGGAGTAGTTGGCTTCGTCATCATCGCTTACTGTCTAGTCAAAAACATCAAAGGCGCGATGATATACGGCATAATTTTCGTCACCGCCGTGTCGTGGTTTCGCAACACCGCCGTGACCACATTCCCAAACACCCCCGCCGGAGACTCCGCTTACGAGTACTTCAAAAGGGTGGTCGACATTCACAAAATCACAGACACAGCCGGAGCACTGAGCTTCAAAAGCATTAAAAAAGGGTATTTCTGGGAAGCTCTAATCACATTCCTCTACGTAGACATTCTAGACACAACCGGTACTCTCTATTCAATGGCCAAATTCGCGGGATTCACAGACGAAAACGGCGATTTCGAGGGCCAATACTTCGCTTTCATGTCAGACGCTTCATCAATCATTGTGGGATCGTTGTTAGGAACATCGCCAGTGACGGCCTTCATTGAATCGTCAACGGGAATAAGAGAAGGAGGGAGGACTGGTTTGACGAGCGTCACGGTGGCGGCGTATTTCATGTTGGCGTTTTTTTTTACGCCGTTGTTGGCTTCGATTCCGCCGTGGGCGGTGGGGCCGCCGCTGATACTGGTGGGGGTGATGATGATGAGGGCGGTGGTGGAGATCGAGTGGGACGATATGAGGGAGGCGATACCGGCTTTCGTGACGATGATTTTGATGCCATTGACATACTCGATTGCTTATGGTTTGATTGCTGGGATTGGGACTTATGTCGTTCTGCATCTTTGGGATTGGGGGGAGGGGGTTTTCACCAAATTTGGGGTTTTGAAGGGGCTCAAAAGTAATAATGATGGGTTTAATGGGTTCAATAGTGAAGCTGCTGGTGGGGATGCAACTACAAAAGCTCTCGAGGTTTAACGAAGAGTTGTATTTATTTTTTTTTTAAAAAAAGATTCACTCATTTTGGTTTGGAGTTTTTAATTTTTTTTTAATGATTTTTTATAACATTTTTTTTATAATTATTTTAGTTTTTAGATTTTGGTAATTTAGATATACCTCAAAAGTATGAAATTTGTGCAAACATCTTTCAAAAATTTATTGAATACAAAAGAAAAAAAAAATTAGTATATTTTCTTATTTTATTGCATTCAATAAAGTTTTTAAAGATTTTTATATTTTTTGAGTGTATCCAGAAGTGGATCTAAAAATTAAAAAATTTAGATTTAAATGTTAAAAAAAATTTCAAAAATAAAAAAATATAGATTGAAAACTTACAAAATTATTTTTGAAAACACCGAACCAAACTGGGCGATTAGTTCCTCTCCATACATTTATCTCTTCATACCTTTTCATATATCCTCTTGTGGGCTCTACCCAGGTACACACAGATAATTTGAACCGTCTATCTCCATAAAATCAGCTTCATCAGATACAAATTACATTTTATTTTTTTATAAAATAAACAACAAATATGATTGTAAATTTAAACCATTTATTTTATAAAATAAAATGTGATTTATTATTGTGTTTTTAGTTGTCCAATGAAGTACATTTTTTATATGGACAATTTTTACTGTAAATTTTACAAATTAAACGATTCAGATCATCAACATGCATTCTGATTTAAGCCCATAACAGGCGTATGGAAGTATGGAGAGAAACTCATTTTGAGTAAATTGGATAAGTTTCTTAGCCTCCGTTTGGGAAGTGGGTTGACTTTTTGGCTTTTTGGCTATTTTAGCCTGGGCTATTTTAGCTTGGTTTGGGAAGGGCTTTTTGGCTTTTTGGCTTTTTGGCTTTTTTGGCTTTTTTTGTGAGAGAGGATTGTAATGATTATGGGTTGGATTTGATGTTTTGTTTTTTGTGGCTAAAATAGCCTATTTTGTTTTTTGTGGCTATTTTAGCCAAAAAAGCCTGGCTTTTTGCTTGCCAAACGAAGGCTTAAAATCATTGGAAATAAATTATCCCGGGCTTGGCTCACAGAAAGGAAATTGGACTGTCACATGTCAAAAAACTTACTGAAGAGAAGCTCATTCCTGTTATATGGTGTTATACTTGTAGTATTCTCAATAAATAAAATATTGCAACACATTTAGTAATTATTTTTTTGTCTCTCATCTTCTTAACAAAGTAAGTTAACATGTTTTATTAATTAAAAAAGAGTGCTGCTATTAGCACTTAATTTTTTTAGACTCTCCAATTCTCAATTTTTTTATTACAATTATATTCTGAAGTAAAATTACATTAAATGAAAATTTTTAATGGAACACTCACCCATCAAATGAAAATAATTAGAATGACACTCTACAATATTGTATACACACCTCCATCCCTATTCATACATATTCCTTACCAATCTAAACCCTAATTGTATTTTTTTTTAATCACCAATCTAAACCCACGTATTCATCTTCAAAAGAAATAAAAAATAAAAAATAAAAATAATTGAAACTACCTAATCAGTTAACGTTTTGTTCGATGGTTTCAAATGTGTTTTCTATTCCAAATCAGTTAATGTTGCAAACAATCCTATTACAGACTCTGAGTTTCTATATTTGTAGTCGTTTTCACCATTCATTGATGCTTATAGAGTGATGGAGGACGATGACAACAATTCTAATAAGGTTGATGTTGCATGGGTAAGTTTATCTGTCTTAAATGTACGATTCTTGGTCATTTTCAGTTCTGTACTGGTTTGTCGACTGTTAAGGTTCTATTCAGTAATACAGTGCTGAACAGAAACATTTAATTTAGTAATACAATGCTGAAAATAAGCATTTTGTTCGGCACTGAAATGCTGAATGGTTCCATTTTGTAGGATTTTTTCTCTATTTCTATTTTTTCTGAGGGTTTTTTTCCTCTAAAATCCCCTGTATCGAGGGTTTTACCCCGAAATAAACAAAAAAAATAATATGTAATTGGGAATTAGAGGTTACTTAAGAGAAGAAGAAAGAGACTGTCAAAAAGATTTCCTACTGAGATATCGTCGTTCATGGTGACAAAGAGAAATAGACTATCGTTTATGAGAGAAAGAGAAGAAAGGGACAGTTAATTCATCTTTCAATCGTTTGTTGTTCTCAATCATCTTTCAATCGTTCTTCGTTTACTAAAAGAAGAAGAAGAGAGGGTGTGCAAAATTGGGTGGATGTGCACTTGGGTATGATGATATTATGAATATAGGTAAAATTGGTATTAAGTGGAGTGTTCAAAGCAATCTTATTAAAATTTAGGGTTTAAAGTTGGGGTTCAAAGAAATGAGGAGTCTAAAGAAATTAATTAGGCACTAATAGCAGCCCTTTTAAAATTTTTTGTTACATTATTGATTTGATGCCTTATATATACAATGGGTTTCTAAAACTATTCAATAATTACCTTTTACTTTCATAGACAATACTTCTAAAATTTATTAACAATACATATTCTTTCTTCACGTTTGAAAAATGACATCCAATCCCTTGAAGTTTCTGTTAGGTTTTTATTCTTGGCAACCCCGTTTGACAAAACTCCTTTTCAGATGTATTTATTTTCGCACTTTTTATTTTAGTGAGGCTATGAGTCTATTAGATGTGAATCCAAACCCGAATTGAGCCTTTCAGAGAAGTTTGTGATGCAAATATTTTCAAGATTGCCACTTCGCTGATTATTACGGGGGTCGAGCTGCCCGGT